GCTTAGACTGGCATCATGCCAACTCCAGATTTAAGCTGACCAATAAGCTACAAAGAGTTGTAATTTTGCAGCGTTACTTGTCGCCTGTTGTTGTGTCCGCGAAAATAAATTACTTGCCAGCTGTTCTGTACCTCAAGTACGAACACATGAAAATTTCACGCATACGCTTTTGTAACGTCAGAATTAAACCAACCAGAGGACCTGAACTTTCTGAGCATAACCGGCGGTGGCCTTTGACCAGATGCACACAGAAACGAATTACACACCACTTCCACGTCTCACGTACTTTTCACGTGTGCACACGTGAAATTCGACGGAACTCCGCAACCAGAGCAGCTAGGGTGCTGAAACTTTCTGGGCGTTACCCGGGACCGTATTTGAGCAAGCGCGGGCGAAGAAAGCATTCACGTTGCCACTCAGGTACGAGTACGTGAAATTTCACGTAACTCTCCAACTAGAGCAGCCTAAGTGCTAAAACATTCTAAGCGTTACCCGGGGCCATGTTTGAGTAACCGCGAGTGAAGAAAACGTTCATGTTGCCACTGACGTACGAACACGTGAAATTTAACGTAACTCTACAACCAAAGCAGCTGGAGTGCTGAAACTTTCTGAGCGTTGCCCAGGACCGTATTTAAGCAACCGCTGGCAAAGAAGTCATTCACATTCCACCCACACATGAACACGTGAAATTTGAAGTAACTCCGCACCGAAACATTCAGCGCTGAATTTTTTGGGTATGGCTTGGAAGTCATTGTAATAATTTCTGACAGTCGTGATAGCCAGTCCCAGTACTTTTAGCTAGAAGCATCTGCCGGGAAGAACGTGCCACTGTCGAAAAAAACCTGCGGGGGAACTGTGCAAGAAACGCATCCTCGTACCGGACAGCCGGTACGCTTTCGACTAAGTTTTGCATCTATGCAATGCAAAAATGTATATTGTCGAGGGGTTGACTGTGTGTGTTTGTATGTGTGTGTATATGTATGGATGTGTGTTTATGCATCTGTAACGAGTTTTCATTTTGAGATGCATAAAAGTTACAGGATTAAAACTTTGGTAACTTAGTCTGCACATACGTTCGGGCTCTTATCCTCAAAATGGATACTCAGTTCTGCGTGGTTCTCACATACGAGCACGTTAAAGTTTTTTTGGCGAGAAAGCGTTTTCGGGAACGGCCCATGCAAGAAATCTGGAACATCACAGAGATGTTTCTTGGCCACATCTAATCCAAAGATTTCAAATCCAGCCTTCACGCATCCATAAGTCTCACGTACGCACACGTCAGAGTTTCAGTTCGCACCGTGACAACTCCAAATTTAACCTGACCTAGAAGATGTGGTGAGCTGCAGTTTTGCAGCGTTACTTGTCGCCCACTGTTGTGCCCGTGAAAGTAGGTTGAGCTTCCTAACCCGCCTACATCTCATATACGGACACGTGAAAATTTCACGTAGGTACTTTTGTAACTTCAGAATTGAAGCAGCTAGAGAAGTGGGTCTTTTTGAGCATAATCGACGGTGCCTTTGACCAGGTGGATGTAAAAATGGCTTTCACGTCCCTTTCATGTCTCACTTTTCACGTGTACACGTGAAACTTGGCATCACTTCGTAACCAAAATAGGTAGAACACTGAAATTTTTTGAGTGTCGTTCAGGGCTGCGTTTGAACAAATACACGCGAAGACAGCTTTTGCCACTCACGTACGAGTATGTGAAATTTAGCGTAATTCCGCAATCAGAGCAGCTGGGGTGCTGAAATTTTCTGAGCGTTGCGCTGGACCGTATTTGAGTGAGCGCACGCGTTAGCAACACTGGCGCTGCCACTCATGTACGAACACGTGAAATTTGATGTGGCTCCGCAACCGAAGCATCTAGAGTGCTGAATTTTGTGGGCATGAATTGGGATTCATTGTAATAATTTCTAATAAATAGA